GCGCTGAACTTGATTTATCACATTGTCTACATGGGGATACAGCTTTTGCAACAACTTTCAGATTTTTCCTAATGATCCGGTAGCGATTTAGACCTGGAATACTTTCCACAAAAATTCCCTGCGAGCGGAAGGTTCGATATAACCCTAGATCTCCTTATTTCCGTGTGTGTTTCATGTCATATTTCATCCGATGAATGAGATTAGCTAAGATTTTGAAGTTTTAAGCGTCTCCGGTTTTATCTCGTGATCTGAGTTGGCTTTGATTGTACAGGGTGCTCCACTCAACATTCAGTGAATGTCAACTGCGGCTGAATCAGAGTGCTCAGTCCCGAAATTTCTTCCCAGTCATGCACACGAGTTCACTGTTGTATGGCTTTCGTAATGGCTGCATTACAGTATTTTCTGTCGCTTGAAAATCGAGTTTCGTGGTGCAAAAGTGCGTCAACCCTATGGTGAGGTTGGAGTCTGTTCGTCAAAATCAGCGATTACGCAGAGTTTACGAAAGCGCTCTTCACTTCATCTATCCAGAGGGTCAGTAGATTCCATGATTATCATTTGGAATAAACAAGAGCTTGAAAACTCTTTAAAGCAGTTGTTTGTTGAAGGAGATTGACTTTTAATGCTTTTAAAAGCAAGAAATGCAGCGATTGCTTCTATTTGAGTAGGAAGACAGGCCGTAAGTGTCGCAAATGTTTCATATTTTGGGATGTAATTGTACAAAAAAATTTGAGAGTCAACGAATGCGATAGTGATTAGAAAAACCAGGTGGCTGTATAATTTTGTCCAGCTTTCAAAGAGGGCTTTTTCGATTTTTTTCGTTTTTCTCCGTTCAAACTCAACAAGACTGGAAGCCGTTTTGAGGGGTTGTGGTAGGTTGACATGCGCACAATACAGCAAAGTTTCAGACAGATTCATTGACAAGAACAAAAATTAAGACGATTTCTAGAGTGGCTGTATAATTATATCCAGCACTGTATGACTAACCTTGACGATTTCGCGATCCATTCTTGGGACCAGCGCTCCTTCCTCCTCCCCCCCCCCCCCCCGACGCCTCCTCCTCCTCGGTCCGCCAGTGCAAAATATTCATGTATCGCGTGCATTTTTGAGCAGAAAAATAGTTTTGTGGCTGCTTCCATCGCAGTACTTCCATGCAGTAGAACGAGAAGATTCCGAAAGTAAACAGTCTGGTAAGAATAATAAGCGAGCTTGAGTTAAATTGAGATTAAGCGGTCTCAGGCGGTCTACGCAAAACTCTTGAAGCAAGTTTGAAATATTTTTTGCCATGATGGTGTAAGTTTCGCTTATGTGGAAAACTACAGGAAAAACGGGATCTTCCCATTGAGCATATTATAAGGAGTCAGAAAGAACAGAGAGGCTGATGTGGCCATAGGCTCTGTACAGTGGATCGAGAGTCTCTCCCCCACCTCCCTCCTCCCCCGAGAGTGGGTCCCGCAACTTTTTAAAGTTATTTACATGCGTTTTAAAAATGTGCAAGTGAGTTGTTCATACTTCTGAGTAATTGAAATGATTTTTGAAATTTTGAAAGAATGAATTTAGCCTCATAAAACTTTTTCCTGGGCACGCCACTGGCTCTGTAGTACTCCGAGTCATGTGATACCGTAGCTCCAATATCAAATTCGCTCTAGACAGTAAGAAATCATATTTTTTGTCTTCGCAATCTACTGAGGTACTCTAACGGATCTATAATATTTAAATTTCTATAACTGAATGCGGGTGGTGTAAACATCGCTATATGAAGAGGGTTGTGGGGGTGCTTCAAATCTCGTAGACTTATTGAAACCGATGCGGAACTATTTATGGCTAATCGCGCTCTGACACCATCTGCAAACCTTTACATCTCCACAAATGGTAATCACAATAATAGCATCTTCTCGCAGTAGCCGTAACTCATCTGTCGTCATTACGACGGTATATTTTACCTTGATCCTCGGATAGAGCGCTTGTGACGCGCCGACCGAGGAGATCCCGCCGGACTAACGGTGGATTCCAGCAGATAAAGAAATCCGTATAAATGCTCAAGTGTGACAGCCTAAACATGCACGGCAGCAACTCGTGGCTGATCATCTAGTAAGATATTTATGTTACATAGATCTGCAATATATTCAGTCGTTGTTAAATTTGCTACTTTCTGCTGTAATCCCTTATACTTACCAATATTCATGTTACCCTAATTTCACGCGCATAAGGCGCGGGAAATTTTTTTCCAAATTTGACCAGCCTAGACAAACCAAAGGACTTTACAACCGAAAAACCCTATAACGTGCTGTATATTGCTTGAGAGAATCGTGCGATGTAAGAATTTTTTCCGGAGTACAGTGAAGCGGCTGAGAGGCTCGCTTGAAAATTTAAAAAAGTGCGCCTTATACGCGTGAAATTAGGGTACTTTTGTTGCACGCAAAAGAGAACAAAGCCATTATAAAGGCAACGAATACTGTAAATACACTAATCCAGTAAACCTAAGTGCCATACTCAATTTTGCAAAAAGATTCTGAAATTTTCTGAGCAACTATGAGCGCATTAAATATATAGGAGCATTCATACAAGTAAGAACAGTATGTAAATGAAATAAAGTGTCGCTTCGGATTTTTTGCGCCCTTCGTGTATTGCAGCATAAAAGTACAAATACATATTCAAGAAATCGAAAATAGCCAACAAAATCATAATCCAGGTCTTCTACGCTTTATGAAACACCATACGCTTCAAAGTAGTACCTTACAGAAATAACACTAAAGTAGAGATACCAATTTTTCCACATTAAAAGGGTACTTCCGTGCTAAATTGGAAAGCAAAACAGTAAAAAAAAAAATGCTTTGCTGCCAAGATCTTTCCTTTGCATGTTTTACAGAAGGAATAGAAGGAAGTTAAATGCCTAACGCTTATTCTCTAGAAAATTTCAACTCAATCGACAATATTTTAATCCTCTTAGCTAATTAATCACTTTTGGCCGACCTCCTACTTGTGGCTTGAGTGATAAGAAGTTATTTCAGTAATCTTGTAACCTCATGGTCGTGATTTTTCAATTAGATGCTTGTCTACAAATTGACACTAGCATTAGTTTATCTTATATCCTCACTGTGCCGGTCACGGTTATAGTGAAGAAGTTTTCATTTGAAGTTGATCACAATATTTTAGATACCGACTTAGGAAAAAACCAAATTTACTGCAGTCATCCCTTGCATTAAGGGCCGGGCATACTTCACGCGATTTCAGTCGCGACGCGATTTGGCAATACTCCAGCTGTCCATAACTTACTGTAAGCACATTTTAAATGTACAGAAGATACGGTATTTTATCAATCCACGTGAGTTATACATACTGTGCATGTGCAGCTTGCTAGTGTTGGATCTGAAGACTTCTGGCGAACTGCCAAATCGCGCCGCGACGAAATCGCGTGAAGTATGCCCGGCCTTTTAGATGTGTTGTTTTGCAGTAGATCTGATCTAGTTCAATAATGATCTATTTCTATGTTATCATGATCATATCAAAAAGAGAAGTGTGATTCTCTTGGCGGTGACTTGCAAACACGGTGATTACCGTAACCTTCAGTCTAAAGACACAAGAAGCACTAGCGTTGATCACTGAAAATCAAGCTGTCAATATTGCTATGCCGTTATAAACGGCCTAGTGAAGGGGGATAAGCAAGTGATGAACCGGCAGTGACGACAAGTACCAGGTGAAAGCCCCTGGTAAGCGGATTTTCTCTATGCGAAAATATTCGAGCTAAGAGAGTCGTCTTCGCATATCATTGTAGCTAGGACTCAGCTCAGCTTCTCCGCTACAAAGGCTTTCTTTTAATCTTTACTGTAAAGCTCAAAAAATAATGTTTTGTGCCCACTGGTGTATTTGTGACTTGTTTCAAAACGATAGCGAATATTAAGCAAAAATATCTGTTTCATGAGCAAAAGCTGGTAAATCCAAAATCTCAAAACAAGCCAAAGAACCAAAAATGACTTAAGCTGATGTCTGAGATAAATTAGTTTGTAAACCTCGTGTAAGCTTGAGCTCCATCTTTCATCAACCAACCCTCTAAGCTCATACCGGTGGAGCTTTGCGAAAACTTGATAGTTGTCATAAACCGGACCACTATAACAGATCGAAAAATTCCACTCTAACAAATCATAAAATCACATCTTCCACAACACAAATCTCCCTCCTGAGCAGCTTATCAGTCGCAGAAATGGATTTTGCCGCTTTGCCGTTATAACAGATAAAAAAATCCACTCTAACAAATCAGAAAATCACATCTTCCACAACACAAATCTCCCTCCAGAGCAGCTTATCAATAATAGAATTGTATTTTGTCACTCCGCCTAATCCCTAACACCATAGCTTTGATTTTCTTCAACGATACTTTCATTGTATTTCCGCTTTCCTTAGCAACATGTGAGCTTTCATTTCTCTCTGATTTTTTCTTTCATTTCTTTTGGAGTCTTCCATTCACTTTCAGAAAGAGTTAGATAAAGGTAACTGGTATCACGTGCAGATACTCTTTGCTTCTACCAGTATATAATAGCTCAAATGATCTATATAATTTCTGAGAAGCTTAACGAAAAAGAGGTCATGCCTTCCAGTCAAAAGACATCATATCGTTAACTCGGTTTTCTCGACTAATAAACTTCCACAATTTCTTATCAAGCAAATAGCCGTACTTGAATACCAATGAAAATGTTTTGCAGGAATTATCGGATCTGAACAATGTAAATTATTCTATAATTCACAAGTAAATTCAGGCACAATTTTTCAGATCACACGAAGTGGCCTTCTTTCACTTGAATTTCAACTAATCATGGCGTAGTGCGAAAATTTCCACCTAAGACATAAAATTGTGTTTTTTATCAAGTCTTCTGACTTGCTTATCCTCATAGAAAACATCCACTTTGATGTTTCTCAAAGATCTGTAGTCTCTTACAGTCGCCTGCCTATAGCTGTATTTTGCAGTCCAAAGCCGTGTACTCATCTTTTCTTTTTCAGAAACAAGAATGAGCTCCAGCGATGATAGTTCACCAAGAAAATCAGGCGAATGTCAGAGATTCTTTGGTTATGGCAAGAGAATTCCTAGAGGTGAGCAAATATATTACGATTTTCTTTAGCAAGGTAAGCTACCGTTAATAGTGAGTTATGCCATCGTATGATGTTTTGACTTTAGAGCTACGTAAAAAATTAGGATTGTGTTGAATTCGAGATAAAGACGTATGATTTAGATGTGAAACGTCACTGTGGAATGTGCAGACAACATTCTTTGGTTGTGGAAACACGTGGCCATATTTGCCCATTCAAAAATTGCGGATGCGAAAAGGTAAGGGGACAAAACTAGTATTAAGCACAAAATTTGAAATAGGTAGTGAAGTACTACTTAGTCGTCAAAATATGTTGAAAATCAAAATGATAGGTGCAGTATCTGGACGGCAACGAAAATCCAGAAGTACAGACTCGAGATTCGAATGGCTAGTCACCTACACAGTCATAGCTAACGAAAAGCAGAGCTTGACTTAGGACTTTATGGAATACATACAACTCCAACATTGTACGAGGAGTTTTTATGGAATTGGTCACCCATGTTCAAAATGGAAAGAAAACATGCCCATTCTGGACCACCGAGGCAGGAAGAAACCCATGGGAAGGCTACTTCATATGGATCCGCGTTTCTTCAGCTTCATCAGATGGCTTACCCTCGAGGGAGTGGGCTAATCGATGGCTATCTATCCAAATCAGCGAACATTCATGATAAACTGAGTGAGTATAGAAGCAGAATCTCCCTGAGACATGAGCTCATGCCAAAATGAGAAAGTTGAAAGTCTTGCGATGGGAAGTCCTTCTCTTCCTGTTCTCCAGTCAAACATTCATACCAGCTGCCCGGCCAAGAGCGGCAAAATTTGAAATTTGAGCAGCTCAGAGCTTCACTTAAAATCCTGCATATAGAAGTTTGTTTTTATAAATAGGTATCTACTTTACAGTGCAAACTCGTCCGTCAACGCCGTTCCATCATGTCGACGCAAATTCGCTTACGTCGAGAGCAGGATAAGAGGTTTCAGGTGACTATAACAAGTTAACTATATCCACCGACTGCGCCGATGTCGGCTCAGGTCATCAAATCAGATTGTAGCGAATTATTGCTTGTTTAGCGCACAACCAATGCCTCTGAAGCCGACGTCATACCACTAAATACGGTATTCGAGACCGACAAACGTGACGACATCAACACATGCTATTTTTGTCAGAAATGCAAAAATCATGGAATTTTGATGTGGAAGAAGGTTTGTTCTCATCAAAGGGGCCTTTTGCAAATGTATCACCATAAAACAGTATACGGCTGTAATCTTATACTGTCGCGGTAGTGTCATGGGGTTACGGAAGTGACTGGCGAGGTTACAGTAGTGTTTGCAATGGTCCTAAATGAACTATTCTACTTTAACATGAAGTACGCTTACCAAATAAAAGCAATTTCCCAAAAAATGGCAATTTCATTCTTGTAAACTCATTTTTCAAAAAAAATTCCTTTAGGACCACAAGAGAAACTGTGAATATGCGAACTGTCGCTGTGAACAATGCGATCTGATTGACACAAGAAGAGCACTCGACAGACACATCAAGAAGAACAAAACCTTAAAGACAAGTATGTTGCTGATGATGAAGTTGCCGTCACAAAAAAATTTTAAAAACTATCATTGTAAATAAAGTACATATTGCAGTATAGTTACTAATGATGTTGATTTCAGGCAGTTCATGTGAAAGCTCATCGTCGAGCTCGTCGGAAGATTCCAGCCACAGCTACGAAAGTGTCGGTGGTCCATTGTCATCAGTCAGCGCAGCAATGTCAGCATCGCTGCCCAGTAGTTTGGAGACGGTGCGTTAGAAATACACAATGAAAAAAAGAAAAAGTGAAATAGTAAAATTAGGAACTTCTTATTCTCGTTTCGATCCTAGACACTAGACGGAAATTAAAATTAAAAGGTACGGCCTTCTCTGGATCTCATCAGTAGTGTAGGAATAGAACATAAGATAGAAGATAAAAATACAAAAATAAAAAATGTTGGAACTAAAAATAAAACAAAAAATAAAAAGCCTTAACAAATAGTCAGCTAATATCTAGACCACCTGAGACATACAGTTTCTGTTAATCATGTAATACTTTCGCGTAGCAATTACGCATCCGCAACCTCCTCTCCGCGAACCTCTCGATGAGACGAATTCGAATGTTTGCCATACGCGCGCAGAACGTGACGCAAAGCGCGCGCTGCCCGACGGAAAGGGTTCATGCCATTGTATAGGACTAAGAATCAGTACTTTTGTATGCAACTTCAAAAAAATCGTAGGGATGCCTTTCAAATTTTTTACAGACTCACGAATCGAACTTCAGAAAAAAGCAAGACGGCAGCCATCCAGAAAAAATTTAGCCTATTTATATTGATTAAAAGTTCTGGAAAGCATGTCAACTATTTGCAAACAAAAGCAATCGTTTGCACAATTTTATAACCTCGACGTGCCACGTCCTCTCTCAAGCCCAACTTTCTAAACTATTTGCTCAACTTCATATTTTCAGTCTCCCACGCTTCCGATGTGCGACATACCGCTACTGAAATCGACAACGGAACAGCCTCTACTCGTGTCTCCATTCCCATCACCATTCCTCGGCTCGCCATCGCCAATACAGCCTTTACCACTTGCTTCGATATTTTACGGAGGGCTTCTACCAAATCCTTCCGTTAACTTTGTCACTTCCAATATTCTAAGCGCACTATCGCCATTTGAAATACAGATTCTGCTAGCAAATATGAGAGCTTGCAGTGATATTGGCGCGTGCATGAACTATTGAATACTTAGTAGTCGAGTAGTTCCGTTTCAGCGGACTACTAGTACAATAGTTTGTCTTACAGTGATTATTTTTGAGATAAAAAATAAACAGAAATGCCAGTAGTCCGCCAAAACGAAGCCAATCGACGTCGCTTAACTCCTTATCCATATTATCTGTGAGGATTGCTACCCTTGTTGATTTGATTTAGAGTAGAAGGCAGTAACTTTCATTTCAGTCATTTCAGTTGTGTACTTGTACGGGTATTCCTTTTATTTGCAATAAATCTCATAAAGAATGTACTGTAGTTCGTAGAGATAAGCATCGGATGCGAAGATCTTGTAGTACCACAAGAAGTTGTTCGAGGAAAAAAATTGTAAGCGTGAAGAAAGCTCAGACCGCTCACATGCATAGTTAAGTGCCCGGTGCTGATACGCCAATATATGAAAATCGTGCAAAGAGAAGCACTCATCCATGTTTATAAACCCTCTGCCCTATTTGGAGTGAGCTCCACTCGAGCGGTTCGGATCTGGCGTAGCCGCTTCGCTTGAACCGTGCGCCGCCTTTGCGAACGTGTTGACCATTTTCCCATGCCAGCAACTGCAGCTCGCTTTTAGTCCACTCCTACAAGGAAAGTTCTTTGGGTCGAAGTGGCGATTCGAAAGGTGATATATAGCAATGAATAGGACGTAAAATGCTATTCTCAAGTCTACCTTCAATATCTGCGACGCGGTGTTCTAAATGTAGTTATAGGATTTTTTTATATATATTTTGGATTGTGATCTAGAAAGGAAATGACGACCTTTGAATAAACAACGTGGTCGGAAAACTCGAAAACGTTCGAATGAACTCAAATCAAACCTACAGTGCTTATTAGGTGGTTTGCTCAAGTTTGCACACTTTTGTGTAGATATTATCATGTTTTTGCCACTCAAAATGCACGAAAATTTGGCATTAGAAAAGCTCATAACTTTTCAGAACAATGCATCGCAGATATAGAACGTATAACTGAGATCAGCGTTTTAAGCTCTATCCACGGGTATAGATCACTTTCTAAATCGCCACTTCGAGTAAGCGAACTTCCCTTGTTGAGGGTGAAAAAATGATAAGACGAAACTCGCGGATACAGCGCACGGTTGAAGCGAGGCGGCCGCGCGCGACACAAGCTGCTCAAGTCTATCTCATTCCAAATGAGACAGAGGGTATGCAATTTTTACGGAGATAACTCGCAGTCCTTTACAGCTCGCAGTCTTCAAAGTCACATTGCAAAACAGAATAAAAGTTTATTTGCGTTCGTTGGTCCGCTAGCATGTGTAACGTTTTCCAGTTTTCTTGAAGGCAGCGTCCCACCAGATTGGGAGGTACCTGGCTCTGGTATCATTGTGATAGTAGACCCCTAACTAAGCCGACGACAGAAGTTTGCAGCGCGAAAAGGGGTCTACGAAGTCTACAAATTGCCCCCCAAGTGGCGCACATTTTAAGGTAGGCCCGAACGCCGCCCAGAGACCAATTTCAAACTGCAAGGCCAGAGCACGCACAGCGCACACAGGCAGGAGTGCAGTCCCACAGGGACTCTGCGTCTCTACCTTGCATGCATCTCATACTCGTCCAAGCCTACCGTAAGATCCGAGCCACTTGAGGGGGGGGGGGGGAATCGTAAACTTCGTAGACCCACTTTCGCGCTGCAAACTTCTGTCGTCGCTTAGATAGGGGTCTACTATTGATTACTACCAGAGCCAGGTAACCCCCAGTCTGGTGGGACGCTGCCTTTGAAGGCAGCGTTCGGGCGCATATGAAATTTCAGAGTACAGGGACTTCCACCCTAATAAAGCTCTTGCCCAAGTGGGATTGCACCATTTTGCTTCTGAAGCGAGAAAACCGCGCCGGAACGCCCGCCCCCTCAATCGATAGCCAGAGTACGTATGGCGCACACAGTCAAGACGTAGGGTCCCACCATGACTCTGCGTCTTAACCTCGGCGGCAAACTTCCATATTCAAAATCAGCAGCTTCCGGAACAGCCCTTTTTCGATATTTTCGTACTCTGCAAGCTTCGTCTTTGGAATCAGCGGGAAGAATAAGTTCTAGGTAAGCGAAAAAAGTTTTGTTCGAAATTTTGCCCGGAGGCTGCCTTCAATGTTATTGTTCGCCAAGATCAGATCATAAGATAACGCATGTTTAGAATGCATGCACCTTCTTCACTGCATTCTATCCATGTCCTCCGTAACACCTCCCAACTCCTCTACCTCCTCCACATGTTCCGCTCCATGCAACATTGCTTCATGCATGGAACTGAAGTTAATGTATTATAGTCACTGAGCACTTCTCAAAAGGATCATTTTCATTCTCCCTGTATTAAGCGATACATAAGCAGGTAAGGAGTCTACGACTAGTCTCCTAGTGCTATTTATGCTCATTACAGGGTCGCTTACGCCTCTACGTCAACTACTATACTCCTTTGAGTCTCTTAGGCCCTGGGCATACCTCGAGCGATTTCAGTCGCCACGCGATCTGGCAATTTGCCAGATGTCTTCAAATTCAATACCGGCAGACCCCAAATGCACAGCATGTGTAACTTACTCGGTTGATAAAATGCTCTATCTTCCGTACATTCAGAAACCCCTTACGATGCTATGAACAATTGAAGCATTGCCAAATCGTGTCGCGACTGAATTCGCGTGAGGTATGTCCAGAGCCTTAAGAAACTATAGCAACTCTACGATTGCCAGATACACCAGTGTGAAGAGCTTATGTCCTTTTCAATGTCAGAGCCTTTGCTTCTCTGCGATTTGTTGCGTGTAAGATCTATAAACTCTGGACAAGAGATAATGGTGCATGTATTGATGGTAGCCAAACGATGAACTTGCGAACTAGATTGTTTTGTAGACGAGCCAGTTTAGCCAATTCTTTCACCTTACTGAAAATGTATTGTCGTTTCCCCCCACCCCCCCTCTCCCCCCCCCCCCCCGAGATAGAAAGGGCGAATATTGCGCACTTGTGGACTTGGCAACAATACTAGTGTTGTGATATAGGGTAGATCATCGCTTTATGTCGACACGCCCCGTCTACTTCGAAAATTCAACGAAAACTATCGCTCACTATTCGCAGCAATCGAGCACTAATGTGCACACTTGCATACTTCCCTAGAACGTCCTAATCTTTTTTCGAGACTACCTTCATGTATAAATTGATGCAACTAGGCAATCTCCAATTTGCCTGCATGTCTTCCTCTAAGACTTCAAGACATACTATTTGCATAGGCGGTCGAAAGCCCCAATAACAAAATAAAATACATTTCATTTCTTAGTTTGTAGGGTGTGGTAAGAATAGCTATTGCCCGAGCTCAAATCGTGGATCTTCTGAAGAATTGCATCCCAAAGCCGTTTAACGTGTTGATCACTAATAAACACTTATCTTAATCATTGTTGCCTTACAGTAAGACTATCTCTCACTATAACCGTAGACGTTACATACTACACTTTGATATAATCGAATTTTTTTTCCGAATGATCGAATAACCGAATATATTAGGTTGGTGCAAAAGTAATGCACGTTTTTCTAGCTCTTGTTTTAGGATAACTTTTCTCCACCAAACTTTCTTCTTTGGAAAAAACTTAGCACATTGCCAAAAAGGCTCTTTCATCCTCTATCCAATGGTTGTTGAAATGGGCTTCTAGCTTCATTAGTTAAAATATAATAGAGCTTCGCACAATCGCACTCGAAACCAGAATTTAATTGCATTTATTTTTTTTTGGCCAGAAATCAAGCCCAACAAAGGCAAACTTTTGAAACTCTAGCTACTGTATTTGATGGAAATTGCCTACATTATGCACATTTCACCATTTTCTCAGAAATCACCTAGACTGAGATTTCGAGGCCTCAACTTGAACACTTATTTTGATCATTCTGGGAACCATAAATTTCCTGTGAAGAGGGCAATCGCCTAAGCTTTGCTCATTTCTGTAAGAGTAAGGATGGGCCTCCTACTGACAGTTTTTCCAGAACTGTGTAGCTGTTTATTACGCAGAAAATCAAAAAAAAACTCCGTATTTTGGGATTTTTAGGCCTGCGAAAAAATGTCCAAAAAGCAAGCAATTTTGGATTTTAATTTTTTCTGTTTGGCAAAATCCTCTCTGTTTGGCCCTTTTCAACTTTTTTGTACTATTGGCTTCCGCCTACAATGTAGGCTATTTAATATCTATACTAGCAAATTTTGAAGAAAGTTATGATCACTTGAAGACAAGATTTCAGAAAAAAATTTTCTGCTTATCAATCCATATTTTTCTGCCCGTTAAAGATATGAGTATAGGGTGCCTGTGCGTTGTATTGTGAAAGTGTTGGTGCCTCGGTTTTTACCGCATCGAAAAATGTAGATTTTTTAGAAAGTTATAAGACGTTAAATTGAGAGCTCACAAAACGCGCATTACTTTTGCACCAACCTAATACTTGAAAATCACATATATCGACCAATCGAATTTCGAATATTTTCAGAAATCAAAAACTCCAGATAGTCGAATATCGATTATTTTCGCAGTTTAGAAATTGTCGAGTAATCGAATATCGAAACGGAAAAATTTCGTATAATCAAATATATTCAGGAAAAAATCGAATACACGAATATTTTGAAATGATAATTTCGAATATTCGAACAAATCTTGGTCGATAACAATGAAGGACTCCATGTAGTAGGCATCTTGAATAAACAAACGACTTTGCTGGACTCGAGCCGATTTACTAAGTAGGTATTCGTTTTCGTTGTTATTTATTTTATTTATTATGTTCTAAGCGTTTTTGTTGGTTGTTTGAATGTGGCATACACTGACCACATCAAATAATAAGTTCTAATAATAAGCACTCTCTTTTTTGAACCTGAGCTTGATGCATCGGTGCTGTGTAGTATTGTGCCAAACCCGGATTAGAACGGTGGTATCATTTATTTACCTTATGGTTCTACACCGTCTCGTCTTCGGAGGTGTGAGGTAGACTGCAGTCTCCTACGCGAGAGATAAAACCGCCGAACGCCATC